GCGCATTCGGAAACCCCCAAATAATAGGACTATAAACACAATTTTTTTGGATAACAAAAAATCAGGATATTTCAGTTCTTGAACCTACGGTGCTTCACCAGGTCGTGATTTTGTATGAAAAAACCCGTTTTTTTCCTCGTTAGTTTTGAAAAATGAATTTTCTGTTCTTTTTTTTGCGGATGTTTCACTTCACGTAGAATTTTGTTCCTGGAGGAGACCTGAAAAACGTACTATCATAATCTTGAATAGATTTCGTACAAACCTAACAATTTGTTTGTAACAATTTGTTTTGTTAGGTTTTCACGAATCCTGTGTTCATATTATTTGTCAGTGTATGGCTTTTCCAAAACCAATGTGAGCCATTCACGCCGTCTGAACAGCAGTAGGCCTCACAACTCAGACCCCGAGATCTCCAACCCCATGGAAGACGAGAACAGCAACAGTCAGAACGAAGCCTGACCAGACGCAAGTGCGCACATAGTTGTAAGTCACAGCAATAATTCACAAGAGATCTCAAAATTCAGCACAAGATAGGAACCTTATCGCGCACACAGCCACCATCGACCATGTCAGCATAGCCAGCTGTGGCATCACCTCCCTCCTCCACCTTGAAAAAGAGTGCCTCTCGAGAAGACGAAGGTGTCTGGCTACTCCCCGACTAGTTTCGGCCGCTGCCAGTTAGCGACCCCCATGGAAGGCCACGGGATCAGAGAGGGTGGAACCTCAAATTCCTACTAAGGAAAAAACAAGAGAAACCTCCCTGGTTGGAGGTTTCATTCACGATGTATGTAACCACATTCCTGCACGAGGTACAGGGTCAGTGCCAAGAAGCTTCTATGGGGAGTAACCACATCCCTGCACGTGAGGGTGGTACTAACTGCTTCTGGGCACCTTGGGGTTAGTCCCACCCTCGTCCACAGGGTCAGTGTACGAGGGGTACAGGATGGGGAATCGTCACAAACGGAAATCACGGATCACAAGGTGTCAGACAATAGTGACAGCAATTGAGGCAGCCTCACTCACAGCGTTGAGCGAGCTACCCTGCTTCCTGGAAGGTAGCTAGCTCAACGGAAGTGGGCTAGGGTAGGAGGTGTTGTTTTCGGCAGGAGCGATCATTTTTCTTTCCGATTATCAAGAAGGGAAAAAACAATGCTACTTTCGTTTCCATTTTTGCTGAAAATCCGACACACGGATGGAGGGTGGAGAAGTCATCTCGTGGGTAGCCCCAGGTCACGCAGGATAGAAAACTCGGCGTTGAACTAACTCAACGCTGCAAGTGGGACATGGCCCCGGGTTGAATTGTGAGGTCCCCGGCCACCCGTTGCAATGAACCTGTTTGGATTGAAAAGGAAAAAAAGAAAAAGAAAAGAAGTGACACATGCTGTCAGAAGCTTCTAAGAAGCTTCTCAGCAAGGAGGCTAAGCAAGCGTAAGAGCCAAACACGGCCTCCCTCCTTGGACGAAAAGCAATTAAGGCCGCTGCTGAGGCACATTCCTTGGGTTCACAAGTTGCTGCCCAAGCAGAACTAATGTCAAGCAGCACTACCTTCTTCCCCCGAATACAATGCACGGTCATTATAGCTGTATTTAGACGGAAAGATGCCCCGGATACAGCTATAATGACCATGCGTTGTATTCGGGGAAAGAAGTAGTCTCCGAGGATCCTACACAGACATACAATGGTTTCCTGCGTTTTTTTTTTTTTTATAGACCTCCCTTGTAAGTGCTAGGTGGTGTGGTGAGAGCAATCACCGCTAGCACCCCAAGGAAGACTCCAGCTATTGGTGAGGAGTATCACCTGCTTGAAAACAAGTGCCCATTGCATTTCGGTTAGGTGAACTTGTACATGTATCGAATTGACACACAAAACAAAGGGCCTAAGGCCACAGCAAAATTAGTGCAGCCCTAAGAGCCAGGAAGGAGGGTTGACGACAACGAAGGAGAAGGGGGCGGTGCGGTAGAGCAGCCCAGCCAGCAGCAGCCATAGCTGCGCCTGCTAGTCCAATAGGAGGCCCTGACTGTGGGAGGATGATGGGAAGAGGACAGCGATGAGAAGTGTGACTTACCTGATGATGATAACGTGATCAGCCTCTGAGGCATCGTTGGGCAAGCAGATGAGCGGACAGAGAGAAGAGAAAAGGGAGTGAGGTTATATAGAGTATAGAGTAAGTAGGGGAGTAGTAGTATAGCCGCAGCCTCTGAGGCATCGCTGGGCAAGCAGATGAGCGGACAGACTTACCCTGTTTTCCAGACATCCAGACTCTTACCTTCGAAGGTCGCTGCATCTCCACACTCACCCTGTTTTCCAGACATCCAGACTCTTACCTTTTGCACACAGTGATCCGTTGCTTCCAGAAGGTCAATGCTGCCTCCAACCACGACTGGACGACAGGTCGACATCGAACGTATTGCAGAGCGGGAGATAATGCCTGTGCAGAAGCCACCTGGTAGAGGAATACCACCCAAGCCGCAAATGCAGTTCAGAATGGCCTTCAAGGGTCACCCACAGAGGTCGCAAAACCAATTTTTTTCCTACCCATATCCGACCGAGCCCAAGACTTGATGTATCATATCTAGCCGGACCCATGTAAACACGATTTTTTTTTTTTTTTTTTTTTTTTTTTTTTTTTTTTGGAACGATTTTTTTTACCCAGACCCAGCCCACCCACACCAATTTAATTTTTTTTCTACCTGTACCCAGCCCACCCAGGGTGATTTAAAAATTGTCTACTATCCTATTAGACCTACTACTTGTCTTAGCAATCACAGTAGCTTCTATTGCTTGAAAACGTGATTTATTAGTTTCTTGAACTATAAGATTGACTTTTAAAATATCTACTACTCGAATAATAGGCAAACCAGGAGTAAATTGCTGTTCATCCCAGCAATTTACTAAATATTGAAGAGACCTTGAAACTGACTGAATATTCTCCCATACCCAGCCAAACCCAGGCAAAATTTTCGATCACCCGCATCCAGCCGCACCCGAACCTAGTATCCATCCACCCGTGCCCAGCCGTACCTGTGCCCAAAATTTTCCACCCAGGGTTAGTTTTCCCTTTTATCCTTATTTCAAACTTAGGCCTTTGTATGTCAGATTCTTTAGCTTCCATTTACTGATTTCCGCTTCAAATTCTGGCGTCGTCAATCATTGATACTTTCTTGTCTATATTTGGCCGCAACTACAGCCAGATTTCGATGGATCTGACCACAATCATGGCCTGCGCTTATTAGTGAATGATGTATTCCCTAAGATGAAACGACTGGGGACAGGCCGAATTAATAGTATAGTCTGGCCCTAGTACTACCGATACCCTAAGACGAATGATAGACGGCTAGAGACAAATTTATACTAGGGGCACGCCCCACTAGTACCACTATTTCCCAGTGAAGAAAAAGAGTCAGGCCTGGCCCTAATACTACCTAGGCTTGCCTAATATGCCTAGTATGCCTACAAGCCCCGGCTCACCCGCACGAAACCTCTACCCAACCGTACCCGGAACCAGGGCAAACCTTTGCCCGACCGTAACCGTCCAGGGAATGTGTCAACACCCAGGCCCACCCACCCTACAGTTTCCTGCCCCGGCCATATCCCCCCCTCAGATTTCCAAAGCCAACCGCCCCGGTGCATACTAATCATGCCATACCCGCACCCATCCAGAACTGTCGGGTACAGCTGGGTACGGTCGGGTCGGGTCACGGCCACCCAATGTCAACCTCTGGTCACCTAGATCCGAAAGAAGATCAGTGGTTTACCAGGGAAGAACTGATGAAAACTGCACCGCAAGTGGTTTTACATTTTGAAAGGGCTCTGGAAGGGAAGCAATGGCAAGATTGGGGGCTCTGCAGGGGGGGCTGAACCTAAGCGGGGGGAATGTGAAGCTTCAGGTCTTGGCAGGCCTCCACTGGGGCCCGCCCAGAAAACTTAGGTCGGCCGCTAAGTGAAGGCCTGGTCATCTTCCTGATTCATTTTCTCCAACAAATTTGGGTTACCTGATGTTATAGGGACACTGGACCCGGTTTCCAGCATGTGAAGCTCCCCACCAATAGATGGAGCCTCCCCTAGGGTGATAGTGGTGTCTGCTCTTACCAGCATCACTATCACCTGTGAGGGATTGCTTTTGAAAAAAAAAAAAAAAAAAAAAAAAGGCCGTGGCAGAGAAAGAGTTCGCCAACACTGAGTGAAGGCCGGGATGATACAGTTGGGAAGGCAGGCTGGGAGTGGCCTCTCCAACAACCGGTAGGCCCAGCCTTTCAGTTAGTTGCAGAGGCTGGGGCCCTGGTACTAAGTCCAGAAGGTTCTCAGTATGCGAAAAGCCCAGTTCCGGTCCAGGCAGGCTCACCCTCCAGCAAGTAACACAGAGGAAGGAGGCTGTGCCAGCGCGAGCTCTATGGAGAGCGCTCGTGGCCTGGCCAGCACTCGTTGACGAAGAAGGCAAGGAGAAGCCACAGGATAGCTGCCCGCTCGTGGCAGCCATAGCTCCTCTGAGGTGTAAGAAGGGTGGTGCTGGGGCTGGGGCTGGGGCGATCAGGGAAGAAAGGCAGCGGTGGCGATTGCCAAAGAGCACACTCGTGGTGGTCAGACTCTGCAGGATTGTTAGCTGAGAGGATAGAGAACAGAAAGCAAGAGAGTCTGAGAGAGAGAGGTAGGATGTGTATATAGAGAGAGTAGGAGAGTAGCACACAGGTGGTCAGTCACATGATAGTAGAGCTGTATTGATGAATGAAGTCGAGAAGTTGGGCTTTCTTTATCAAGATACTTCATTGTCAGTGAGTTCTGATTTGGTGTGCTCACAGCTTTGTATTTCGGCTTTCGACTTTGCTCATATATGCTTGTTCTGCTTTAAGTCTGCTGCTCGGAAAATTTGTTTTCCCATTGATTGGTTCCTTGCAGATCTATCGAACATTTGCATTTCAAGAGGCTATGTGGTTGTGCTTATGCTTCTATGTTAACACCTTCACATGTTGTATGTTGTATGGGTATTCATGTGAACAGTCAGAGGGTCAGCATGAATCGACGGCAGGGAGGAGTGACATCTGCAGCAGCTCTTGCTGTGCGTGCTTAATCACACCATAAAGCACTCAACTGTTTTCTCCTCTGTTCTTTTCCCCCCATATGTTTTTTTTGTTGTTGTTGTAAAAGGATCTTGTATTCCTTGCTGATTTACTACGTTCACTTCTTTTTCCCCCCCTCTTCTCTTCACCTTTTTCACTCTCTTCCTTGTGGTTTTGATGACATGTGACATAAAATGACCTCGGCAAATGGCATAGATGAGAAACAATGGAGGAATCGTTGCCCCGAATGTGACAATGGAGTTCAGGAAGATGAGATGTTACATGGAACAAACATGGGAGTGAAAGAAGATGATTGGCAAATGATCACCCCCGTCACCGACACATATGCTTCGGCACTTTGTTGTGCGTGAACGAACACTTGAAAACCAATGAATGTGAAAAATGTGACGAGTGATGGGTAAATGATCGCTCTTGGTATAGACTCAAGGTGGGAGTGAAGGCGGTGATCATCTGTCCATCCCTTATCATCTGTTCCACCCCCACATTGGTTTTGAGTCAATCTTGCGGCAAATGGTGATGGATCATCACCACGTTGCTTCCACCTATGTTTTGACACATCTCACTGTGTCACAGAACAGCACTCAAGGCCCACCTATTCTGGGGGGCAACGATCCGGTTGCTTATCAGTAGCAAGCATGTTTGCAGGAGGTAAGGAGAGAGAAACAGACAGGAAAATTACCTCCGACTCAAGTCATCTAGAGGGTGGCAGTGGAGGGTGAGGCACTCGTGGAACAATACCAAAGAGAGGCGCACTCCGCCAGGAGACGAGTCTCTCTATACAGCCGCAGTCATGTTCTGCCCGTTGCAGCACCCCTCGGTTTGTTCAGCCCTCTCCAACCTCTACCCGGAGTTGGTTGCCACTTCTGTACATTGGTCAGACACAACAGTCACAATAATGATCAGCATTAAGTTTGAACAACTTCAACATGCGCCCCAAACTAGCAGCTATGCCCAAAGCTAGAGCCTTCCCCCGCTTAGCAGGTACACTACACGACACACAGACCAATTTATGATTGACAGTCACCCTATAGAATGAGGTCATTGATGCTACTTTCGCTCCGCTTACAAGGCCTTTGTGCTGTCAGGTTTGACAGTTTGCTCTGCCTACAGAATGAGGTCATTGCTGCCCACTGTCTCTCTACTTACGAGGCCTTTCTGCTGACAGGTTTGACGACAGCATCGATACTTTGTACAGCCTGAAGACTGGGCGGTGACCAATTGTATTCAGAAGGTTTCTTCGAAAATGGCTTCAACTCAGTCTGGTAGGATTTCTTCAAATCCACTAACAGGCGATCCAACCATCCCCAACTTCCTCCCAATTCAACAGTCTTCATCTCTGCCTTCTCTATCTTCCCGTGTGCACTGTTTTTCCTGTCTCCTCTGCTTCCTCCTCTTTCGTGATGGTCTCTCTCGCCCCTTTCTCCCGTTTTCATAACCCCTTTCTAAGCATGTTGTCTCACATTTTAGTCGTTATTTAATTCTTGTTCATGTGTGCCATGTGCCTCCTCTTCTGGTCTGGGATTTGTTCCTCCTTTCATATATATCCACATTGGCTTTTCTGTTCGGGCCCACGTGAGGCTCCCAAAAATTGCTTCCCATTCCTCCACAAGTTTCTTCGTCTGTGCAATGGTGATTATGGGATTCAGCCTGAGCTTGTCTGGGGTGCGCTGTACTTACTGTGTCTTTTTGAGCTTCTATACATAGAAGCAATATTTGTCCTTGATTATAACTCTTGGAGCTTCTTGCGCTTCTGTGTATGGCTGGTTGCTAACATTGTTGGTCATGGGATGATCTGAGCCTCAGAGAGGACTCACTTGCTAGAAGGTGAGCTTGCAGGGACAAAGGTGTAAGTTGGTCGTGAAAGGACAGGAAAGTTTAACATTGAATGGATGGGCTTGAAACTTTGATGGGACAAGGGAAAAAGGCAAAGTTTTCTTTTTTTTTTGGAGGGAGGGGGCACTGTGTGAAAATTTGACTGCATTGGATTTATTTATTTTCCTTTAAAAAAACAGGACCTTATGGGCCTGGCTCCATGTCCATTCTGGGGAGCATCAGTCCGGTTCCTATTCCACCGGCAAGTCAATAAGAAAGTACAATATGTACTCACGCACGCTCCCCATTACAGTTGAGAGGCCCGAGCGGACAACATTGATTACTTCCCTTGGAAGGATGTGCCGCCCCTCACCCGTGCCTAATTTAGCCTGCAGATATACTGTTTGTACTTGATGCTGGACTGTCTTCCTCTATTCCTATCTATTGATTGAAGCGCACCTACGAGAACACTGACCAGCCTGTTCCTCTCAGCTGCTGGGCTGTCGAAAAGCGTTGGAACTGCTAGTTTAGTGCTTTGTTAAAAATCCCTACTATCTTTTTGGGGTACGCAGTATTCCGAGTCACTGACTTCTGTGTTCGCACTGACATCCCTGTTTTCTGTACTGACTGTATAACCATACCCCCCTAATCCCTTTCCCACACTCTTCCTAGGCTTTTGGCTATTCCTTTTTGCCGGCCGACTAATTTTAGTATTATTTAATATTTACCAGTTTTTTTTTTTTTTTTCTTCATAAAACAGATCCTTATGGCCCTGGCTCCATTTCCATTCAGGGGAGCATCAGTCCGGTTCCTATTCCACTGGCAAGTCAGAATAAAATATTACACCATGAAACACACTCACGCTTCCTTTCGTCTGGCCGGTATTTTCTTCTAAACTAATCTTTTTTCGAGAGTAAGATGGTCCTGTGCTATTCTTAAACTTTAAACTTTAAACCCTAAACCCTCTTTCTCTCCCTCCCTGCTTTACTTGCTGCTCTTTCACCCTGACGGTCTGCTTTATCCAGACCTGGTTAAAGTTATTTCCTGAATACTAATTATTTCCTATTTGCTCCTGTATGTGATTTTCTTCTGGGTGCTCTTCCCGAGCACTGGTTTATGCTGTCCCATTCCTGAAACTTTAGGTACCCTTTTCTTATTTTTGCTATTTTCTTGCCTAGCAGCCACTGCTATTTGAAGGATTTTCTACCAAGGTCTCTTTTTTTTGGGGTCAGTTAACTTTTCCTGCTTCCTAAGGTCTTTTTTTCCACTGGGCTATGATTTTTGTTTCTACAATTTCCTTCGCCTCCTTCTGTCATTTGATTGTCGAGAGTTCCTTTGCATCTGGACCTCCATATAACCCACAGCGCCGCTCTTCGTAATAGGGCCGCTATGGCCCTTCCTTCCTCTTCCAGATTTCCTTCTTTGTCTCTTACTGACAATAGGTAGGTATTCCACTTGCAATGGAAACGGGTTTGGAGAAATGTGAGACCACGCCGTCTTGACTGCCTCCCATAAGGTGTCTGCGTGGGGGCACTCAATCAGGCAGTGGATGAGTGACTCGACTTTGCTCTCATTACACATTTTGCAGAGGGAGGATTGTTCTGTTCTTCTTTGATCGACTTTCCTGCGAGTGCCTAACCATTCGTTAACGGGCATTGCCCAATATAGGATCAGGTCCGATCAGCCATTGTAGGCTTCTGAATCTGGTGGGCTTTAGGCTGCTATGATATGCCCATGGGATTTTTGGCCATCCGTGTTCCTCCCCCAGATGTTTGATCCATCTTTTGGAGATAGCTGGACGCGGAACTGCTGTTTTGTTCCGTATTTTGTACCCTATCTTTACTTCGTAGTCTTGTAAGTTGACCAGCTTTCTTGCCTTACCCCTGCCCAGCTTAATGTACAATCCCCAATTAGCTGGGTCTACTTCCAGTTCTCTCATATCTTTATCAGGTCCAAACACTATCGTTCTCTGGGGTCCGTTTCCACTGCTGGAGCTCCTTCTGCTCCTTTTTTGGCTCCATGTTCGGACTTTCCTCATATTCATCAGGTTTAACTCCAGCGTCGTTACACTTACTTCTTTGATTTCCGTTATAGCTTTGTCCTTATCTAATAATTTGTGTACTTCAAACTCTGGTATAGTGTCCTGGTGTCCAACGCGTTTGACAAATTTGAGGGTTACTGAAGGTGTCAACTGTCCCTTGTCTGTTGCCCAGTCTCCCTCCTCCCACTTGATCTCTCCTTTTAGCAGGGCTCTCCATTCCAAGGGAATGCTATCTATCATTTCCTCCAGGTTCGTTTCTAGGATGTGGCATCCCTTGAGTTGGTGTCTCAGCTCTGGGTTCGTCTTTCATCTCTTTTCCTCTTCTTTCCAGATATGTTATATTTCCCATATTCCTTTCTCTACCCATTTCTCCATCTTCTACCTTTGCTGGTTAAGGGCCACAGCTGATCCTCCCTTTTCAGTATGAGGGGGTTGCCGAAGAGTGGTTCCCTCAAGACCTCTTCCTTTTGCTTTTGGTTTTCCGACCTTCTCCGGTAAGGCCTCTGTCCAGTGCTTCATGAGTGTTCTCCAATGCCGGCTTGGGGGGTATTTGCTATCTGCCCTTGGAGTCCATGCTATGTTCAGTAACCAGTGATATCCTTCTATTTGTGGGTGTGCTTGAAAAGGTACCAGGTTTCGAATCTGGTACAAGGCCATGTCGTGCCAAGGTAACTCTTTATGAGGGAGTACCCTGATTATCCATTTAGCTTGTAGGGCTTTGCATTCATAAGCAGGGTTTATCAACCCTAGGCCACCCTTTTTCACTGGTCTGGTTACATATTTCCATGCAACCTTGTAGATGAATTTGTCCTTCGCTGTGTCTCCTGTCCAAAGGTAAGCCCCTGCCTTTTTCTTTAGTGTTGAGAGGTGTGAAGGAGCGTCCCAAGTGGATGCTGTGTACCATGCCATTGAGAAGATGGATGTGTTTAGCAGTAGAGCTCTCCCTATGATCGAGGTATAGATCTTTTGCCATCCTGTTGGCATGTTTATGATTTTGGCTAATATGCTTGGACCTGTGCTTTCACTGACTCCTTCTGCGGAGACTGTAACTCCCAAGGATGTCATGGGTTCATGGACTCTGATCCATTGCAGGCCCTGTGTGTCCTCGGATTCCTGAGGGTGGGGGTTATGTGGATAGCCACCAGCCCATTGTTTTCCTCCAGTTGATCTTCATTTCTTAGGCTAACTGAAAAGTTTGCGTCGCTATTAACAGTGCCTGGAAGGATGAGTCTGTGGCTCTGATTAGGACTGTGAGGTCGTCTGTGAAGAGCATGACCGTGGGGAAGGAGACGTATCTGTTATGAACTTGGTTGTGTGTCGATTTTCATCAAAACTCACACACAAACAATCTCACGCACACCCGTACATCCATAAGAAGAAGGGGAGATGAGACAGAGTACACACTGCACACAAACAGAGTAAGCAGCGGGAAAAACACTATGCACAGGTGTGGAGATAACACAAAGTGTTTCTCACTCTCTCACAATACTCCCAACAACCAACCACAAGTAGACACCTGCGAGGATAACGAAGGAACAATCTGAGATTGAGCCGATCTGAACCAATATCGTTACAGAGTTTGTCTCAGTGTCTCGCCACTCACAGAATCACACACTCCACACCCTAGACTACACCCAGTTAGTAATGCCACACAACAACAGCCTCCCAGAGGCCTGCGCTAACCACCCAGATGAAGAACAGGAACTGCGATGTAACCCTCAGTGCCGATGAGCAACTCTGACGAAGAAAGCTGCAGCTATGGCTGCAGTGCCACCACAGATGCCACGCACGATCCCAGAGGAAGATGCAGCAACAGTGGTCCACCCACAAATACCATGTAGAGCCTCAGAATCGCCCAGCCGCTCGCAAGCAAACCCAAGGGTGGATGCTCAGAGGACGCCCTATCTATGGCGAGCTCTAGAAGGCTGGCTATGGCTGCCGTCCACGACAAAGGTCTCAGGATGCCGCCTGTAGGCAATCGTCTCCACTGTACTTGCTTGGCTCAGAACTCTGTCATGCGAAAAATGAAAACAGCCAAAAGTTCTAACCCTATTGACCTCATTCTATTAATAGACTAGCCTAGACCTAGACACGGACTGGACCGACCGGTACTGTTTCAGTTTGGGCCTCTAGGGCCTCTGCCTACCCGGCTATAGGCTCTCATGCTACAGGCCTAGGCCATAGGGCCTCCCGTCCCAGTGGTAGCCTAGGCCTGCTAATCTCAGTGCTGCCTATAAGGGAACTACTAGCTTGTAATTTTCAGAAATTGCAGATATGTCCCTCACGAATGTCCCTCAGCACCGAACTCTCGGTTAGTCCCTGTCACAAACAAAATTATGCATCTAACCCTACCGCTGTTACTGTACAGCCTTGCAGTCAGATCTTGGCAGTCTGAATCAGCAAGTCATT